GAAGCGGTGCGGCTTCTCGTACGTGAACGTCTCGAGGCTCTGCTTGCGCTGCTGCGCGCGTCGGAAGCCGCTCACCGCGTCCGGGTGGAACGTCTCGTAGTCGTCGGACGCCGCCCCCTGGCGGTCGGCGTCGGCGTCGTCGGCGGCGGCGCCCACGCGCTCCTGCGAACACGTCGAGGGGCCGCGCGAGCCGTCGCTGCCGCTGCCGCCGCCGCCGCCGCTGCTCTTCGAGCGCCGGTTCAGCTTGAAGTAGGGCGACTCCTCGTAGTCGGACTGGTTGGCCATGCGCGCGATGTAGTCGCCGGCGTGCGTGTCCATGTACAGCGTGATGAGGCCGTCGGCGACGAGGTCGTGCAGCGTGTCAAAGCGCTTGTCGCCGACGTAGTGCTGCTGGTCGTAGAAGAAGAGCCGGTAGTTCTTGGTGGCGCCGTCGAAGCGCATGCTCAGCGTGTAGGCGCCGGCCGCGCGCTGGCTCTCGCGCACCAGGTAGCAGCCGTCGCCGGCTCCCAGCAGCCGGTCGGCGTCCTCCCGCGAGATGGCGCCGTGGAACGCGTCGTCATAGTGCGCCAAGCCAGGTGCGGACGGAAAAAAAGCCAAACATACGCCGCGTGGACATTAAGAAATCGCTCAGCCTTTCGCGCCGCGTAGCTAAAAGCCCCCCCTCGCTCGCGTCGCGCGTGGCGGGCGGGCTCGAGGCGGCACCCCGACACGCGCCGCAGATAGTGGGACGGAGAGTTCGAGAATGGATCGCGTCGCATACGAGCGCCAAGTTAAAACTTGCGAAACTGAGCGCCATTAGTTGTTGGGCGACGGAAGATCAAGCAAACCAGATGCGAAGCCGGGGCGGCGACCAAACAACTCAGAGAGCGACAATTTCCGACGCCAGAGCTAAGTCAGCAGGGAGAGACAAAGAACGGGCAAAGATGTCTACTGTTAAGTTATACAACCGGCAACTGCAACCACACTTGATTCTCAGTGATTTTCTGTGGGGCGAATCATCAGGAGTGGGAAACAGGCGGAGAATCCCCAGGCAATGAAAAATGCGACATGTATTAGCATAGTTTGCGTAGTTGTAAGACCAATCGCTACAACTTAGACCCCTAGTCTTGGGCAAGGCCAGAAAGCGTGGTAAGCTCTGAAGGTCAATGCCACACTTCTAGACCACGCTTCTGCAAGGAGTGGCTGTTCGTGGCAGCCAAGCAGGCCACCTGATAGCTGGCCCAGCGATGTTTGCATTGAAGACTGAATAGGCCAAAAGCAGTTACTGCTAACACCGTAGATCCCCGCGTTCAGTAACGGTGACTGCGTCGACCGCAGTCTACGGGAAGGGTACAAAGATTATTTTTTTTTCAGCATTATTTTATGAACGGTGGGTGCACATGGAAGGATACTCTGAAGTCACCCATGGGAACCGAAGGTAGCCAAATAAAAAACCTCCCATCTGAATCATCAGTAGCTCAACTGACTATTCATCTAGACATAAATTTGCTTGAGAAATAATCACTGACCACGTATATAAGGACGAGATTCTCCAACGTTCAAAAAGGAGCCCAACGAACGCGCTCGACTAGATGGTGTAAACGACTGCGAGAACTCAAGGCAGAAATGGCTTATCACAAACACGAAAACCCTCCCAGCAAGCACAAAGCCGAACAGCAACTGTCACCAAAAGCAGTGAAGCCTGAAACACCAACTACAAGCCGTCAGTGCGCTTCACAACACCAGACTATGATTGATTGTGGCCGGAATAAAAGTGTTTTGCACGGCGATTAGAAAACATTCTTAGCGAATATATATGGTTGAGGTCGTACAAAATCACCCCGGCTGCCAAGAACAAGGCCAAAATATGCATGAACCACGAAAACCCTGAGTCAGTTTCTAATCGAGCAGCGATTTGAAATTAAAGGCGGTCTTAGGTCAGATCGTGCCAAGTCTTCGCAGCCGCTTCTTGCAAACCAGCGGCGCTCATTCATTAAATAAGAACTATGGAACAGCAGTAATCATTACTATTGTCTTCACAGCTTGCTGCATATATGTGAGGGAGGGCAGCGATGATGCACAGGGGGCCTAGCCTGAATGCATATGGTGAGATTCAAGTAAGTACTGCTGTAAGCGAGGGACTGCATCACAGAGTTTACAAGGCCAAATGCAGGCCATGCACGTTAGCAGCTACTTACTCATTGGGCATAGTAATTGGCAAGCTATAATTAAATAAATGGCAAACTGGTTAGTTTCCTTAGCCCACCATAATGAAAGGACAAGGATATAACATTCACTTAATTTTCAAACAAGAGAATGATTTAGTTTTAATCATGATTATTTTTACTTGATATGCACTCAATCGTTGATACTAAAACATGCGTGCTAATTTTTGTTAGTCAGCAGCATTGTAACTATAGCTTTCTTTTATCAGAATTATTGAGCAAACAAAAGAATGCTATGACAAATTAACAGCTTAATTGGGTGATATGAAGTGCTGGTATGCTATAGAATGGCAATATGAAAAATGTTCACAGGCTGAAATATGAAATTACCTCAAATTAAAAAGACATCAAGGCAAGTTTTACTACTTTTAACTCTATGTTTGATTCTTCACTGTTAATTCTGATGCTAACGTAGGTTGATCTTTTTTTTTTTATTTTTTTTTCTGTAAGACAGGCCAACACAAAGCTAGCACGTGGCGAAATGCAACAAAGCGCACTACAACACGTTGGCGCATAATAATGGCACAG